GCCTGTCTTTTCTTTTTAAAGGGTTAAGGAAGCCTTTCTTCTAATGAGACTAAAGATTGCCCAAGTGGCCTGGGTCAACTCTACCCTTCCCCTAGTGATTTACAGCATGCCTGGTTGCATGGGCAGTAATCACATTACCCTCCATTATGCATGGGCTTGGCAGAATTCAATGTTTATTTTTTTAAATCATTTTTACAGATAAAATTGATGTTTATTTTTAAGCATTTATTCAATTTTTTAATTGATTTACATGTTCAGGATTGCATGAAATTAGAGGTGTGGGGGCAGACAATTTATTAATGACAATGTAACTACTGTAGGACTGCCGCCAGTTGAGTGGCAGAGCTGCCATCAGGTCCTGGCTCCGCTAGCGCATCGATAGCTCCCTCATCCATTTTGTCACTTCTTGCTTTTGCTCCCAAAAGCAGGGTTTCTGGGGGTTGCAGTCCAAACTACAGTCATCATGGTTCTTCATCAGCCATCATTTTTCTTATATCCCCTTTCTATAAATTTTGTTTATTAATGATAGAAATATCTTTCCGTCGGTCTGTGAGTGCAAGGTGAAATCAACGTTTACCAATAGAAGTTGAATCCTGCCAAGCCTAATTATGCATCAACGAGTAGGTGTTTCCCACAAAGGCAGGCCAAGTCTCGCTGGTGAACATCGAGAAATAGAGCTGTTCCAGCAGACATTATCTCCCCACGGGAACATGGGTGACTGGTGCCTCCTGAGTCTGGGGGGGCACCTGCAGAAGCAGGTGTTGGGGACAGGGATGGTGAGCACCTGCAGAAGCTGCCGGTGGTGGCGGCAGTGGGGACGGGGCTGGCAAGCACCCGCAGAAGCTGCTGGCAGCGGGGATTGCCCTGTTGGGGGTGGGGGGCACATGCCCCGTGTACCAGTCACTTATGCACAGGAAGATTGTGCAGGTTTGGAGGGCAAGGCTTAGCCAGACGGGACAGAACTCCACTGGAAATGCCAGTGCTACTGCTGGCAGGGCAGCAGGAACTCCTGCTCTGTGTGACTGTAGCTCACTGCGTACCTGTTCTGTCAGCAGCAAGGGCCCCAAGGAGCAGTGCAGAAGGACAGGTCTGATGTATCACCAGAGTCTGGCCATCCATATGGATATTCCTGCCTTTGCAAACCCGGCTCCTGAGGTGATGGTGAGTCAGGACCTCTGCTGGGAGGTCCTTGGGCGAACTTCCCCTTCTGCAGTATATTCATAGGCCCCACCTTGCAACTGGAGCAACACCTGCTGCTGCAAGAAATTAATAGTGCCAGCGGTACAAAGATGAGTGACCCCAAAAAGAATAGGAACTGCTGCCTGTTCTGAAGTCAGGGGGAGCATTCCTACTGACTGTGATAGGTGTCAGACCAGCTCTGAATTAACAGCCTGAGGCAGTGTGAAATATCAGCCCGAGAGGTGTAGAAGGTAGAGCCTGGAATTTCTGCCTGTAAATTGTTTGCTCCAAGGGCCATTGCTGTTGTTGCCTACTGAGAGCAGTGTCAGTGGTAGCACTATCTTATGGTGTGGTATTAGCATAAGAGGAAATTATGGAGCCTTGAGAAGGACACGTACAGGGACTGGCAGTACAGCATCTAGCACTTAGTAACTTGCCTCAGCACTGGTAGGCAAGAGTCACCTTCCCCATCAAGCTATACACTAACTCACCCTTAGAAATCCCACCAGGCTTTTCATCCTTTTGCCAATGCAAACCTCCTTACTTTGGCTTTTGCTAATGATCTGTGCTGCTTCCTACTGATGGAGGGCTTTATCTTGCCAGGGGCTAAGCACCGTCACCTCCCATCTCTCTCAAGTGCTCAGTACTTCCCAGGATCATGCCCTTATATGGCATAATTATTTTCTGTTGCTGCTGTGGCAATTGGTTGCATTAGGTGAGGTTCATACAAAGTACAGGATGTTAGGCTTATTCCTCCCTCTTGTTCACTTATCTGGACTCTTTAACGAGTAGCTGTAGTGATAATTACAGAAAATTTGCCCTTTCTAAGCATCAAGCTGAAGAGCTTGGTACACATCTGATTATTTTCTATATGTTAAGAATACCAGTAATAATCATTACACTGATTCATTTATATACTTCCAATTAGAAAATGAAGAATTGGAAATGCCACTGGTTTATTTATAAAGTTGCACTATGTTTAACTTTGTCATCCTTATCGGTGCCTGGACCAGTATTTCACTCTCTTTTTATATAAAGAAGTTTCACTGGCATTGCTTCTGGGGTAGTTGGTTTGCCTGCACTTCTGGGCTGCGTCCAGATGAATGCAGCCATGCGGTATGTGGCGCTGCAGACCCATCTGCGGGGCTACACAGCACACATTCAGGTGTTCTTCATGCTGCAAGGTAGTAGCACGGGGGGCGGTGCTTGACCCCAGGAAATCCCAGGGTCAAAAAAAAACCTATGTGAAAAAAAAACAGGGCTTTGCACGTGGGGGCAGTATGCGTCGCCCAAAACTGGAGCTTGTCTGGCCAGAGCCACGCTCCAGCTGCTGGCCAAGCTCCGAGTGGCAGGATCGCTGCAGCTCCCCCAGGACTCCAGGTAAGGCTGCTGGGGCCAGCACAGTTGCTGGCCCCAGCCTCACCTACCCCACCTGGGATAACCTGCCATGGCACAGGGTGTGCCACTGCTGCTTGTCCCCAAGGAAACAAGCATCCATGCTTCTGTGGACATGGCTCTGCTGTTTTTCTCAGCCACAGGTGCCCCTGTATCTGTCTCCTAAAAATATATGTACAATTCTAACCTATAAAATAATATGATGGATTATTTCCAAACTACTGTTCAAGTCTCTACAACCTTTATCTAGGCCAGGGGCTGACAATGTTTTTGGGTCAAGTGCCAAAAAACCCAGCAGCCTGGACTTTGAAAACGTTGGTGTGCCAGGGGCAGATGGCAGGGAACCATGAGGGGCCTGATCCTTGTCATGGCAGTGCAGCCCCAGCCCCTTCCTTCCCATGGACACTGTGGTGCGCATGCAGCTGCTGCCAGCAACAATTTGGGCTGGGGCTCTGGACCCTGGTGCAGCCACTTGCAGGCCCGTGCCACCTGCCAGGGAGCCTGGGCTGTCTGCAGCAGGCAGGTACAAGCCTGCAAGCAGCTGCACCAGAGCCCTGGCCCCACTCATTGCCAGTGGTGGCTGCAGGTGCGCCTCCAGGCGCATGTCAGGGAAGGGGCTGGGGCACAGGCCATGAGGATGGCAGGGTGGCCCCTTATCTGCTCCAGGCTGGGCACTGGCTACATGCACAGGGGCAACACAGACCACATTGGGATCACCCAGGCCATGACAGGGACAAGGGCCATGGCTAAAGTCTGTACTACACTGCAGTAGCAGCCCAGCTCAGTGCTGTGTTAGCAGGGGCTGGGGCTGGCAGTATGGCTTGGCCTATCCCCAGAGGTGGATTAAGATGTTTTGGGGCCCTGAGGCAAGAAGAGAATGGTGGGGGGCGTGGAGCCCTAAGGGAGCTGGGCTCCAGCAGGGGGAAGGAACATCTTCCCTTTTCAGTGCTGCCGCTGCTGCGGGGGTACGTGACCTGGTTCTCGCTCGCTCACTGGGAGTTAGTGAGCAATGTGGAGTAAGTGAGGGGATGGCTTATTTGTATATTCCCAGTACATGTGAAATGGATATACAAATGAGTCTTCTTGTTTGCTTGCTCGCTGTGGTTGTCCGGTGAGTGAATGAGAACTGGGTGAAAATGAAAGACAAACTATTGTATACCTGGTAACACTGTCTCTGCCTGGCATTCAGGGTAGACCTCGAGACCTGGCCCAGCTAGCCTGTGTGTTAATCTACCTATGCCTGGCCTGCTGGCTCTTGGGCAGGGGAGAAAGAGCGGTGACTTGGGTCTGGCACATAGCTGCCTCTGGGAGAAGCATATGCAGCCTTTCACGGCCAGGTTTGGTGGTTTGGGAATGGGGGCACGTCCCCCACTTCCCTCTGCTCTTCTTTTCCTCCTTCCCCTCGTGGAGATGCCAGGATTTGTAGGCATGCAGCCTCCAAGGGTGGTGCATAGCTCCAGCCCCTTCCCCGCAGTGGTCCCTGAAGTGTGTGGGACAACAAGCCGAGCTGGGACTCCAGGCCCCGATGCAACCGCTTGCAGGCTTTTAGCTGCCTGTCACATCCAGCCTGGGCTCTGAGCAGCTGCTGCTTGCCACAGAGCCTGGGCTGCCTGCAGCAGGGCTTGTATCCTCCCTGCTGCCTGCTGTGGGCAGCCTGGGCTCCAGGGCTGGCAGTAGCTGTCCAGAGCCCAGGCTGGCTGTGGTGTGCCAAGCACAATGGCTTCATGTTCCATACTCTGGCGTGCGTGCCAAGGATTGCCAACCCCTGATCTAGGCAGTACATCATATGCAAGAATCCTCAGGCATTTCGACCTCATTAGTTTCTGCAAAATTGTTTCTGTTAATATGGTGACCAGTGATATATTCCTAATGTCCTCAGTGTGACTTATGCATCTAAGGTCAAAATGCATTTGATCTCTGCAGACATCTAATGCAAAAGATTCCTGTCTACCTGCTGCGAGATTTATAGCTAGGCTTAGGACCTGATCCAGTACCAGTCAGTGTCAGTGGGTGCCTCTTTCCACTGATCCTTTGGTGGTCTCTTTATGCATTGAAATCAAGAGCAAAACTCCCTTTGATTTCTCCAGGCAGAAATTTCACCCTGCAGGACTGCTATCCTGCTGCTTTTTGCAGTGCTCTTATGAATCATTCCCTCCCACTGTCTCATCACCCTGCTTTTTGCTGTTGTGGGGCTCTAATAGATTATATGGAAATTCTGCAATTAGCTGAATTCATCCTTGTGCAGACCTGATCCTGGAATTTGAAGCGTTCTTAGATGCCTTGCACTCACCGCTGCCTGATGAACTTTCTGCACTCACGTAGGGTGGTGTTGGTAGTGCAAGGAAGGGGGCTTTCTGGAAACAGGGCTTGGGGGATTTTATCTGTTTGCTTTTAACTTTGACCTGCTTGCTCCTGTGTTTCTCCAGTGTACGGCCACAACATGAAGAGCAGCAATGATTTTATTGGGAGGATTGTGATTGGTCAGTACTCAACAGGCTCCCCTGAATCGAACCACTGGCGTCGCATGCTCAATTCCCATCGGACAGCTGTGGAGCAATGGCACAGCCTCCGGTCCAGGGCAGAGTGCGACCGAGTGTCTCCAGCATCTCTTGAGGTGACGTGAGAGCAGTCGATTAGCAACAACAAAGCCAAGCAAGAAAATGAAAACACACAGAAAACCCCTCCATGCTCATTCACACACATACTCGCCTGCAGTCAACCATGGAATTGAAAGTAACTGTTGCCGCTGCTGGTAACACAATGGCTGCGTTAGCCTCTGTGCCTCAGTGAACCTTCCTAAACCACATATCACATATTCATACGCCGACTGTTTTCTCAGGGTCACTACCTGTGTGGCCCATTGGACCTGTTACTACTTGCATCTGCTGCTGGACCCACACCTCTGTTTTTAATCCCACGTTCAGTACAGTGGAGGACTATTCAAAAGGTCAGTGTTAACATAGTAGAGTGCTTTACTTTCTCCTGTAGTGTGTAGTGTGGGTTGCACGTGGATTCAACATCTTCATTCTGAGTTAACTGGAAACTTTTTGAGTTCCTTCCACTACCCTTCCAGTACAAACCCATGACTCATTTCATTGGAGATGTAAGTACCCATGTACTCTCTTTGGTGAATGTGGTAAATAGGCTAGAATCTTTTTTTTTAATTGATAGAACATGTGGTGAAATCAGTTCTGAAATCAATCCAGTTTTGTCCTTGTACTAGTTTAATAAAATTAAATTCCTGTTAGTATGTATGTGTGCCTTTGTGTGTTGGAGTATGGGTGTGTTTGTGTGTTATTACACACATGCGACCATATACCAAATGGATCTAATGTTATGTCAGTAATGAGACCTGCCACATTATAACAGTCTGTATACATAAAGTAGGTAGAGTATGATATAGCAAAGTAAATATTTTCAATAGAGTCCATACTGGGAAAGCCAGATGAGGCTTTTAAAAGCCTTTATGTAGTGCAAAAGAACTTGCTTTGGGAGCTTTCACAGTAAACACCGGAGATGATACACAATTTTAATTCTCTTAACAGGCTGCGGTAGGTCTTTCTGTGTTCTGTGTCTTAAACAAGGTAGTTTTTCAAGTCAGTTGAGTGCACTTTGCTACAGTCAAACTGTTCGTTTATTCTGTTGGATGCTTCTGTACATTTTTTTCACGGCATATTGTCTGGTATGATGGAGATTGTATATTTATTGAAAATAAAGATCTATTTATTTGTGCCATGTAATCTGAGGTGTTACTTATTAGAACAACTCAGCTGTGCATCTGACTTGATCAGTTGTGTTCATTGCACCAAAGAAGTAAAGCTGAAATGTTGACCCTGATCCTTTTGTCTACTCATGGATAAATCAGAGTAACTACAGTCAAATCTATTGTGGCTATGTTCATGCTAATATGCTACAGGAGGAAAATCAGGCTCGGTGCTCTTACTATGCATAGTTCTGATCTGGGATGTGCTGAACTCTTTACAAGTCTCATTCCAAAAGGCTTTGGGTGAGATCATTCGGATCTAGACTGGGCCCACAGATTGCCATTTGTCAGCATGCAAAATCCTTAGCTCTTACTGCTTTGTACTGAGTCTATTTAAAAAAAAAAAAAAAGGACTTAAAATGGACTCTTGGCATCAGCAAAGCTGAATCTGACTCTTGACCTTTTCTTTCTTTATCTCCTTTCTAGAGGAAGAAGTATCCATCTTATTTTCAGAGGTATTTACCTAGGTAGTGAGAGGAAGCCCTAGGCTTGTAAGCATGGGTGGGCTATGCTGTCTATTAATGTTATAAACCAATGAAGTGGTCAGAAGCAGGACCCAAGGCACTTTCCTTATCTTTTATTCTGAAACATGTGTCTGCAGGTGTCACAGGTGGAAGCCCACAGGGCATTGCCATGGCTCAGTGGGTAGCATAGCACTATGCACCACTGTGAGCACTCATGGGCTTGAGAATTTGAGTCCTTGTGATAGCCAGAGCCAAAAACATTTGGAGGTGGCACAGAGACAGGGTGTCTGTGCCTGGGGAGCAGAAGGCTATAAAACCCACTGAACTGAGCCTGGAATTTCAGTGCTGAAGCTGGGATCGCTTTGCAGGACTCCTTGGTTTCAGGTTTAGGGCATGTTTAGGGCCTTTTGCATTGCACAGCAAACCAGATTAGAACCTAGATCATCTTGCACAGCTTCAGGATTTGCTGTTCCTTAATTCATAAGACAATGAAACTTGATCACGTAGGAAGGAGCTGGAGGAAAAAGAATAGTGTAATAGCTACACACTTCCAAATGTGACTATGCAAAACAGAGCATCAAAAATGATTGCAGGGCAGTAACTGCAATTGCACAATTGGGAGGCCTTGATATAAACTATTAGAACAGGAAATTAAGCGGTACCTACCAATTCTGAACACATGGGCATAATGCGAATGGCAAAATCCCTATCTGATGGGCATCACCATCTGTGCTGCATATTCTGTACTCTTTCAGCTGACTTCAATGGGTTTGATTCCTGAGAAGCAACTTGGGGAGAACCAGCTCTGAAGAACATTCCTATTAGGGAAGGACCGCATGAGAACTCCACTGCCTGCAATGGGAAATATTCTGTCTTCTGCACAGCATCCCTACTCCAAAGCAGTATCTCTGTGGCTGCATGAGGACTGTAGTGTAGCAGTCCTTGTGTTGCCCTCCTCTAAGACACCTTGTGTCATAGCTCTGGATGAGGGTATGGTAGAGCACAGTGGTGAACTCATTTCTCATACTAAGGCCCTTCCAACTGGTAGCTGCTCTCTGGCAGTGCTGGTGGCTGCTCTGGGGAAAGGTAACAAGTTTGGAACAAGAACTGTAAACCCTTTGGGTCTTGTCTGCACCCAGTGGTGTTCCAGTGGCAGTCTTCCACTGACTGCCACAGAGGCAGGATGGGGGTCCCCTTCTTTCCTTCCCTCTGACATGAGACCTTGGAGTGTGGTTTCCCCCCCTAATTTTTACCTTCCAGTCAATACACCTGTCTAAAGGTAGTTGTTAGCACATGAAACACTGGCCCAAGGAAGTCCATGCCAAAACTCTGGATTTTTTCCTGGTATCCTCAGTGCTCCTGGATCCTCTTGTGAGCAGCTGTAAGTTTGTGGTTCATCAGTCATTTAGAGGGAAATATGGAGGAGTCCTATGCAAACACACTCTGCAGAGAATCAAGCTGTCTCTATCATTGGTGTTTAAGATCCTTGTACAAATGGAAGTGGCTTTAGTGATCACTGGCTCTGACAGTTTGACATCTATGTGGTTTCCAGGCTACAATATAAACTGCACACATCTGTTGAGGCCAACTAGATTATCAAATACAAACCTTGTGAGGCCTGTACCATGGTTTGCTGAGGTGCTGAAGCAAAGATCATACCAAATGCAGCAAATTGTCATAAGCCTGTATTTAGAGCCACATCCTCTCCTTGCTTTGCAGTCAAATGGCCAATGTGGTGTTGGAGTAGCATAAGATTTTCCTGCTTTGAGCAGGGGGGCTGGACTACACAATCTCTTGAGGTCCCTTCCAACTCTAATTTTCTATGATTCTATGATAAATGGGAACACAAACCCAAACCCAAACCACACCAGACGACCAGAGGCATGGCATATGAACTGGAGGGCAGGCACTTAGCACACTGAATATGGAGTTCAAAACTTAGTAGGCAACATGGAAATGGGCCTGAGGAAAGCAGTGAGCAGAAAGCATGAAGAGATCTGTGCACATCACTGGTAAGATAAAGCAGCCATAGGCTGGGTGTGGCCTATGAAGAATGGGTATTTCTAACACAAGCCAAACAATACTGCCAAAAGTTTGACAAAAGCAGAAGGGGTGGCCTTGGGTGGGATGGATTGTGGACACATCTATCTGAAATTAATGGCCATGCACTTTATGAGCTGCAGGTGTGCAAATTAATGACTAGACTGCATTTAAACATGTTGCTTGTGCAAACCCAGCCCAATGCATAGTTGCTCTGCAATATCCTGAATCACTATAAAAGGACATAGTCGGACACAGCTATATATCCTTTCTGTGGTACTAGATGTCTGGGATCCAGCCCTGTAGGTTATTTGGGAAGTCTCTACGCCTTCCATACTTTCTATTCTTTCCTATATTTCTTTAAGGGTATCCATAATTATGTATTTGTGGATTGTTTTTGCAGAAACTGTAATGCTTTCAAGATTTTTTCTCCACATATGATTGATAATCGCTTGCAACCTTAGTGTTAGTTTGTTTGGGAGTTGCATATTAATGAGCTTTATTAGGAAGTGCAAAGAAGCCTTTAGTTGTGTGTTCTTGTAACTTGTTGTTGTGTGTAACTTTAGTTGTGTGTTCTTGTAACCTTTTCAGGGAGTTGCATATTAATGAGCTTTATTAGGAAGTGCAAAGAAGCCTTTAGTTGTGTGTTCTTGTAACTTGAGTACCTTTTCATTAACTAGCTTGAAACATCAGTAGATTTCTCCTTGAGCCATATTGCTTCGTTTTCTGTGCAATTCCAGTGAAAGGGGGGGGAACCCTTCTTAAGATGTTGCTAAATGCAAATGAAATTAAGTGAATTCTTGGACAGGTGAATGAATCGGCCACTGCTGCTGCTGGAACAATCCTAGAATGTTTGACTGCTGACCGCTCTTTGTGTTTCTGTAAATCAGTGGCCAGCAACCTTTACATGCCATGGGCTGGAAAAGCCTCGCTCCGGTCTGTCATGGGCTGGGGGTTTCAGCAGCACATCAGCAATGGGCAGCTCTCCCTGTACCCACTACTACCAGCTGCCCAGCCCTGGCTCAGCTCTTTGCTGCCCAGCCCCAGTGTGGCTGCGGGCATATGCAAAGCGCTCCAACTTCATGGGCCGGATCAAGTGGCTCCACGGGCCAGATGTTGCACGTCCCTGCCTGAAATCACTTCTCTCTTTTCTTTTCTGTGAAAACCGGGGACCAGAGTAGCTTTAGGTTCCAGAAAATTGTGGAGAATCTTAAACTTAATCTGTAGGTGAGAAGGTGACATACAGCAGTTCTACAGAGCTGGCCTCAGGTTTCCAGTGGGGACAGGACCAGGCCTGGAAGAACGACACAGCTCTGCCACCTTTTCCTATTCCTCCTTCACCCCTACCAGCAAAACCACGAAAAGAGGAAATAAGAAACTTTTCCCCAAGCAAAGTTTTGAACATAAAAAGAGAGAAGTCTCAGAGGTTCCAAGAAGTTGACCAGAGACTTTGGGGTTGTACTTGGATGCGTGTAGAAGATGCTCAGATACTCATTGATGAGCAGCAGCATAACACCTGAAGACAGTGAGTTGGAAAAAACGTATTCCTTCAGGCAGGGTTGGTGGTTTCCCCTTATGTATTGTTTGGCGAATGAATAAAATATTGAAGGTTTTGCTATATTCATTTATTCAATCCAGCCCTGGTTTCATAAATGTAGCTTGACTGCATAAAGTTCAGAGTAACAGCTTAAAAATGAAATTAAACTAATTATGAAAAATCAGACCCAATCCAGCCAACTGTTCCAATGACTCCAGTGTCCCTGGACTGTGATGGGGATCCATCTGAGCTCAGGAATTCCAGGATTGGGATTTAAATTAATGCCCACATCTCCTTGGCTGCCATCTTTTGCTGATGTGATCATAGACATCCCTCTCACTCAGGCACTGTTTGCTTGAAGTTGTAGTATCATGGGAAAGGTATAATTTTTTCCACCATCGAGCCACGTGGTTTAACCCCGTTCTCATCCCCAGCGTTGCTCTAGGTGCAGTGCCTTATTGCTGTCAAGGACCCCTTGTACTACAGCTGTGCTCATCAGGGGCCAGGGTGAAGGAAAGTCAGTAGACACACTATTTTACTTTAAAACTTCTGATCCAGCGATCAGGAAAGCAGACAAGGGATGTGGTTTGCTTGGATAAAGAGCTTAACGTTTGAAAGGCTGCCCGCTGGGCCGTGTGCAGGTTCTTATACCCTCCAGGAACTTAAGAAGGTGATTTAAGAGCGACTTCTGGCAGTGAAATGGTCTGCAGCCTCTGCTCAGCCGTATCTCAGTTCTGAACCTCTCTGTTGTTCTGTGAAGTGTGGTGTTACGCTGAAGGCAGCTTGGCCAGCCTTCCTTGCATGACACTGTGAAAGTCTGTAGTTTCGGGGGAGGGTGCAGCACACAAAGTATATCCACATCTGCTCCAGGAATCTCAGTGGCATAGCAAGGCGATCCCAAGCTGAGGAAAAGGGCTACATGCAACTGGCTGTCTGCAGACCTGGGAATGAGATATTGTCCTCAGTCACTGATGGTGGCCAGGGGGGATTTCTGTGTGCTCTTCTCCATGGTTTTGTTCAGCACCCAGGCCTTCCCACAGACAAATATTAAAATCAGCCAAGGTGAGTGCAGATCATTGATTCTGGTTTGGGTAAAGGTAAATGCAAACTTTTTTGTTATTCATGGCTCAGCAAGAATGCATCTTAAAACGTGCAGCCCAAACTTTCTGTACAGCCCAAAACTCTCTTTACATTCAACATTCTTCTTAATTTAGGGTGATGTATTGCAAAGTAATCCTGATATTTTCCATTGCTTTATGTTCAAGCATTCTCTCTGCTGGCTTTATTCCTCTTTTTTGCAGACGTGATCGTTTACCCCTGTAAACAATGCAGTCCTATTCCAAGTTGCTAAGAAGTTTATGGCATATTTGTAAGCTGAATGAGTTTCCTTAAAATGATTCTAGTCAGACATCTGTATTACCAGGCAGTAATAATCACAAACATTAGCAAGTGCAAGTTTCGAAAGGTTTTGGCTTTGGATGTTACCCCTTGTGTTCAGTGCAGAAGGGAAAGTAGTTTTCAGTTTCTTTTATTCCAACTAATTTGTGAAATGGGGCGAATATATGTAAAAACTGTAGAATAGCAGAGTACATATCACATATTCCTGAGCTTCAGAACTTGTCATTAGTATTTTGGGTGGAGAGAAGTACTTTTAAGAGTCAACTGTGACTGGCTTTGATTTCACTGTATGACCCAGTTTGGATGTACATTTTTACTTGGATGGAATGAGCCAAATTATTTTCTGATTTATGCCTCTAAATCTGGAGTACACTGGATTTCATTGAACTTTATTAGATTAGTTTGGGACTGCGAGCAGAATCTGACTCATTGGGTATTGTTCAGTGAATTAGCATGAGAAATAATTACTACAAGCTTAGCTTTAGTGCCAGACAACTAATCAATGGGAGTTTCCACAAAAGTAGTTAAGGAGAGAAAAATGTAAGATACCCGCTCTCTGAGCGGTTACAATGAGATGTCTAGTATTTCTGGATTGTAGAATGTCTACAGAAACTGACTACTGTCTGTATTTTAAAATATAGATAGCATAGGATTTTATTTTGTAAAACTAGCTTTTTTTGGTACAATGTATTACGTTACAATGCTGAGCATCTCAGACTGTGACATTTTTACAACGCTGTTAAAGTTTCATTCCACTGCTCTATCTTTTATAGAATTTCCACTCATAGCATTAGAAACCACTCCCTTCCAACTTTACCCTCATATACTACAGAGAAGGACCAGAGCTGTTCTCAAAGACACAGCCCACACGCACATACACACCAGGGCGACTGGTGCCTTCCGAGTCGGGGAGGGCACCAGTGGGGCACGACCTGCACCCCCCCCCTCCAGCAGCCAGCCAGCAACTGGGGGGGTGCCAGCGGCTGGTTGGCCGGACCGCCCCCCCCCAGGCGGCCGC